CAGCTCCCTGGAATACCGCTCGCGAATCGCCAACCACCTTTTAGCACATTGCTCGCCTTTAAATAGTAAATCGCTAATGCAACTTAATTTAATTTAAAGCATTAGTACATATGTACCTGTTCGATTTAGCTGTTCGCCTATGTGCCTCCAAATTTGCCTTTTGTGTTCCGCTAACTTGTAGTTTGGGGAAAATTTGTCGTATAATTCATTATGCGACTGCACCAGCAATATCAATTTTTCGTCGTCCATGTTTAAAATGTTTATTTTGTTTATTTGGTTTGCTTTGTTTTTATTTTTGACAGTTCGCTTTGACCCGTTGCCATGCCGTTGCCATATGTTTTATATTTGTCCGAAAAAACGTTTTTACATCATAATTTCGGAAAATTTAAATTTGAACAAAGCAAAAAATTGATATGGCAGCCTGGCTCTCTCAATTTACGTAAAAACATAACTTAGGAATCTAAATTCTACAGCTCTCTAAAATTCCTAAGACAAGTTGAGTTTTGGCCAACCAGAAACACGTATTACTGGTATGGTAGGTAGGTCTAAGTTGAGTTAAATAGTGTCGTAAGTCTTGGCTAACTTACGCTTAAATCAGTTCGTGAATTGATGTACAAACGTGGAATGGTCAAGCGTGTCCCAATCTCTGCTTTGTGATCGAACGCAAATTTCGCGAAGCGCACGAAATTCAGTGCGTTGATTCACTTCACTTCAAGAAAGCCCCCAACTTCCTGTTGCTATTCAAGCTCAACACATCAACCCGAGGCTGGCGCAAGAAGGCTAATCACTACGTTGAGGTTGGTGATTTCGGTAGCCGTGAGGATAAGATCAACAAATTGCTGCACAAGATGGCTAAAAGAAATTGTTGTTTTGTATTTAAGGCGACAATATGATTTGGCACATCTTCAAAAGACGCCCAAGCAAAAAAAAAAAAGAAAATTAAAAAATTCCCGAAGTTGCCTTTTCACGGGTCGATTTCTGTCGACTGGAAAATTTACTTAAGATATCGACTAGCCAAAACGCTTACATAAAGGCAGCTTAAATAACGTTCAAATTAATCATCCCCTTTGAGATGGGAAATACCAATAACCATTTCATAATTTCGAAAATTATTCCATTTATACTTGTTCTTGCATTTTCCACACCACTTGTGAGGTATGCTTTTACGCGCGTTACCGATTTTTTTTAAATCTGTTCGGTTGCCCAGGAGGCCTATTTTCACCTTTACAACTTAACTTAAACAGAATTAAAACTAAAGCATGCAATATATAAAGAAAATTAAAAGTTGTCTTACATCTAGTAAACTTAAAAAATTGCACATTAAATTCATTTTTCATTATAAAATAAAATTAAATATCACAATTCAGTTTACAAAATGTGGTCTGTTTGCACCCACAGTAAGTTCCCATGAAGCCTAGCCTAAATTCAGAACTGAAAAAAAACGAGCAAATGGGGTCGGAAACTACTAGCCCTAAAAGCATAATGTGGAAAATGTTTTAAGAGCTGCGAAATTGTATTGCAATAATAAAAATAACAGTGCATAAATTGGAAAAATGGCTTTTGTTTTGCTTTATAATTTTTGGGAATATTGGTTCAGATGGAATTTTTTTATTTGTTTGGT